TCACCCCCCCTCCCCCCCCGCTTGCTCAGCCGGTGTACCTGCACGGCTCGCTGGGTAGGGAGGCGGCCACGGGCCGGGGAACCACCTTCGCCATCCGGGAGCTACTCAAGGTGGGGTTATGTGGGGGGGCGGGGGTGGGAGAGGGGTGGGGGGGCGTTGCGAGGGGAAGTGCACGTGGTGCGTGTATGTGTGCATCAACCACTATATGGGGAGGGAGGAAACGCCAACGTCCCCAACTACCACCCCGACCAGGACCCCGGCTCTTTTTAGCTTTCCAAACATGTTTTCCTAACGAACCCCAACCGACTTCCAACGACCTCCGTCAGGCTCTCCACATGGGCAAACTGGCTGACCAGAAGTACGTCATCCAGGTAACTGGCCGTGGGGGGGGGGTTGAGGTCTGCTGCGCATGATTTTCATCCTCCCCTTTCATCCTTTCCCGCACATTCGGTCAGTTCTACTTATGGTACACTCTTGCCCTGGCAGCACCTTCACTCGTTCACGTGGTTCGTCTTTCCTTCCCATTCTTTCCCTCACCCTTCTAAATGCTCGGCTTTGGACATTGGCACTTGTTTATTTCCTTGACTTCATTGATTATATCCACCCCGCCCTCTCTCCCTCTCCCTTTGCATCCCCCCCCCTTCTCTTTCCTTGCGCCGCCTGGCCAGGTGGGTCCCGGCGGTTACGAGCTTAGTCGTTTGTTATTTCGCGCTGCGTCGGGGTAGGGGCTAGCTGGGGGGGGGGGTGAGCTGGGGGGGGGCCTGGGAGGAACACTTGCATGCATGTCAGCAAGCAACGCAGCAAAAAACGTCAGGAAAGATCTAGTCCACTACTTTCGCCGCCACGTCGGCCCGGTATCCTCCGTCTTCTTTGCCGCCTCTAGATCTCTCTCACAACACCGCTACGGTTTCCATTCGTTTTCTGTTTTTGTATAGGCTTACCTTTCATCTCGGCAGCTAGGTGGTTGGTATCTGTTTTTCGCCTTTTGCCTTCTTTGGACTTTGGACTTGCCAGCTAGTAAAAATTCGTCCCGCAACCCAAATGGCCACGTCACGCCAAAATTACTACTCAAGTCATCACTGGTCAGTAAATATTCCTGATGCAACATGGGTCTTCTCCTGGACGGTCCGTCTATTTCTGGTATCCATGCCCCACTCGCCAGTGGAGCCCCCCTCTTTCCCCCTCACTACCCTCCTCTTTCCACCCCTCTTCCCCCCCTCTTTCCACCCCCCTCTTTCCCCCCTCTACCCCCCCCCCACCCCGCTGGTCCCCAGGGTTTCGGCAACGTGGGCTCGTGGGCCGCCCAGCTGCTGTGGGAGTCGGGGGGCAAGGTGGTGGCGGTCAGTGACGTGGCAGGAGCAGTCGCCAACGAAAACGTGAGTGGGCGTGCTTGCGTCTCCGCCTACAGACGTGTACATGTGTATACATCATGTACATACATGTATATAGAAATATGTATAATATAATCCCATATATGCATAAACGTACAATGCAATTATTATACATTTACATGCGGGTGGTCGGGCGGGAGATACGACCGAGACGAAGCGGGAATTAGGGGGGAGGGGGATAAACAGTTGGCTTGGCAGTTGCCACGCAGGAGGAGGAGGAGGAGGGGCTGTTTCCCCCCCGCACTCTATGTCGTACCGCCCCTACCCCGGGTTGACCCAAGCAAACGCCCATGAATACACACACACACACACCTGCCAAGTGTGCATGTCCGCAACTGTGTTTTCCCCCCCCCCCGGCCCCCTCCAACAACCCCTGTCAGGGTCTGGATATTGGGGAGCTCCGCAAGCATATGGCTGCCGGCAAGACGTTGGCCTCCTTCCCCGGGGGAGTTGCGTTGCCTAAAGAGGACATCCTGGCACAGCCCTGCGACGTGCTGATTCCGGCAGCCATAGGGGGGGTCATAGGGCCAGAAATGGCGGCCAGGTTGCAGTGCAAGGTGCGAGGGACATACCGAGGGACATATGTACAGACACACAGTGGGGGTTTTGGGGGCGCTAGGGGGTTAAGAGCAATACACATGAACCCTTTTCGCTTGAGGCGGGGTGGGTGGTTATCGGTTAGTTGGGAGCTAGGGTGCTCTAGCCTGGCTGGGCTGGGAGGGCAGGGGAAGGTGAGGGGGTCAAAGACAGCAATCTTGTACCGGGTGTACGGCACGTGGAACCGAGAACCGCACTCTCTTAGCGGATGTGGGTATGGATACGGCCAATGTCTTGGGCGGGGGGAGATGCATCTGGACGCAACCTAGCTCTTTATATGTTTGATTTCGGTTTAAGGACGTGTCCGCCTCCTCCCCCCGCGCCTTTCCGAGGCATCTTGTCCTGCCCTGCCCTCCTCCCCACATCCCCCTCCTCACCCTTCCCACTTCCCGCTCGTCGGCAGTTGACCCGTCGCCGCTTTCGTGATGATGTCATTCCCACACCTGCCCCCTCTCCTTCCTCTTCTGGTTTCTCGCCTTCTTTCCAACGGCAGGTGGTGGTTGAGGCCGCCAACGGTCCAACCACCCCGGAGGGAGATCTGGTGCTCCGAGACCGGGGTATCACCGTATTGCCGGGTATGTTGGGGCTGGAGGGGGGCGCGGCAAAGGGAAGCAGGGTGGTATGATGGCGGGTCCTCAGTGCGGCATGTCCGTGTGTGAGGACTACATCGTACCACGTCATGGGTTGTTCAAATTCATCGGCGCAGTCTCCTGCCTGACCCAGGTGCTGGCTTCCCCTTCATTATTTTACCTCCACTTTTCCGCCGTTCTCCATCCATCCATCCATCCATCCATCCACGCGCCTCTGTGCATCATGTCAACCACGTGCGTTCTCCCCCCCACATACACGTACCTCGTCTGTATAGCTTTAGGATTCTCATGCCGATATGTTCAACTCTTGCACACACTCATACACACACACCCTTCTCCTTCCGTCCCGGCCCCAACCCGTACTCTCCCACTCATTCGCACACACTGGCATTGCAGACATCTACACCAACGGCGGCGGAGTGACGGTGTCCTTTTTCGAGTGGGTCCAGAACCTGCAGAACTTCAAATGGGAAGAGGAAGATGTCAACAGGTAAGAGGCACGCGAAGAAAAACATATTATTGTACGCCCTTGGTTGTACGACTGCTTAGGTGTGTACGGATTTCTGCGCACTGTTGAAACGCGCATGCAACAAGACCGTAACAAGGGTAAATGTGACCCGTAGAATGCGTGCCGGTGAGCACCCCTCTCATGTCCAGCACGCAGGGCACATAAGCCCCGTGGAAAATGGCTGGTCGGCGAACACAATGTGTAATAGCCCTTTTGCCCGGTCCTGACGTGCTCGAATGTTCTCATTGCCGACGCTAGTTAACGACGCTGAGCGGCGTGTATGGCATGTACGGCATGTACAGGAAGCTGGACCGCAAGATGACGGACGCGTTCGCTGCACTCTGGGGTGTTCACAAGGAGATGGGTGTGCCGCTGCGTACGGCAGCCTTCGTGGTGGCGCTGCAGCGGGTGACCCGAGCCGAGGTGCACCGGGGCTTTGACTGAGTCCGTGGATTGGTTGAGTCTGGACCACTCCGGGTGATATGGAGTGGGCGGCGGGGTGGGTGGGTGGGTGTAAGTAGACAAGGAATGTGGCGCTGTCTGGACGCGGTGAGAGCGCATGGCTGTGATGGGTGAGCGAGTGGGGGACCAGCCGGAAGGGTAACAGCCGGGAGGCTGCAAGGCGCACTCCTCTAAGCCCAGTCTAGACCAGATCAGCTGTCATCACCCGGTAGAGTATTAGGACATCAACATCAACAACAGCAACAGCAGCAGCAGAAAGAACATTAGCGGGTAAGCTGCGGCGGCAGCAACGGCGGTAACAGCAGCAGCGGGAGCTGTACGACACTTCCTGCCTGGCCAGCGATGTCCTATGGTGTGGTTCTGGCGGTCCTTGTCGGAGTCTCTTTTGCGTCCTCTTTATTACGATCTTGCAGGACGGCGGTAACGGCAGCGGCTGCAGCTGTGATCTCAGCTTACATTCTTCCTCCCAGTTGTTGGTGAAGAAAGTCTTGAGAGTTGTCGGTGGGAAGGTTTTTCGTAGGTGCTGGTGGTTGGTGGTTAGGCAGTTGCACACATGTAATTGAACTCGTTCGGGCAAACACGCGCGCGCAGCAAGGCGCTCCCTTGATCTGCACAAGGAGGTTGGCAACGCGCAGCAAGCAATACAAGAGGGGATGGTGTGAGGGTGTGAAGGTAGTGCATTGGTGGGTGGAGGGGGTCCGAATGGAGGTGGTTGGCAGGCGGTGACGGAGGACGACGGCCTGCTGTTTGCCATTCATTCGCCCTTGATTAGCTGGCTGCATTCGCATAAAGACCAGATATTTTTTCTCTTTAATAACTATGATATTCAGTTGCAACGGGGGTGTCCGTTGCGCTGTGCCTTGAGAGTCGGTTGGTTCGTTAGTGGAGCTGCTGGTCCATTTGACCACCATTGGTGAACGCAGTCACATGATGTTCATTCCTTTGGTTGGTGGGTCAGTAGGCTGGCAGTAGGTGGACTGCGTCGCGTTTCCTATTTGGGCTGCTGAAGGGTTTCAACGTTCGAGTCCCCTCCGGGGGGTCACGTTTCACGCAAGGAGTGTGAGAGGATACACGAGGTGGGGGGGACTTAATGTGTGTGGCAGTGCCACAATCGCGGCTTGGGGGACACTTTTTCCGAGCCAGCCTGTCTGTGTGGACGTCCTTTCATTACTAAACGGATTCAAACACGTGTTATCCTTAAAACTTGTCCGTATCTTCTGCTATCAGCGATTTTTTGTATACGTGTAATGGAATTTCTTCGAAAAAGATCTGAAAGGTTACTTTTCAGAATGCCCGATGCCCGGAGGAAGCAGGCGGTTACCGATCGAATAAGGGGGTATGCAGCGACCGGGATATCCCAATGCGATCCATTCAGATTACAGACTGTGGACCAGACGCTCAGGTGGGCCTGCCTTGAAAGCCAGATGACATTGCTACGACTGTTGTATGTCGAGCCGCAAATATCAGTGTTATGACCGTTTCTTGTAACCCCCCGTTGTATTCACGTGGAAGCCCCCACACCAGCTCCCCACCAACCTACATGTGAACTGTGATGAGGTATGAGTTATTAAAATGTCACCAAACCACAAACGGGATTTGGTAGGTTGCGGCCGTCCACGTCACGTAAGCACTGCACCAAAGCATGATGAACCGAACTGCCCAAATAATATGCACGTTCTGCATATCCCCACCAAAACCCAGATAGGTGACGCACGTTTAAACAGGCATTGCAAAATACACTGCAAACAAGAATGCAGCAACAAGAATGCAACACTGGCAGGCAAGCAGCTCCAAAGCCCTCGTTATCTCTCTCGCTATTCGGGGCTCATATGGTTTGTACAGTTTTGCATGTCCGCGAACACCATCTTCCCATGCATCCATCCGCCTCACACCAAAACCCCCACTTGTATATGCATATGGTGCACAAGGATTGTCGAAGGAGCACCATCGACAGGTCAGCAACAACCGGTCAAGCGACCCAAAAGCGATTCGCCAAGAAACAGTGCATCATCATGTAGAGCCACACATGCAGCCCTGCGCTGCTTCATGCATTCCGTCTGCTTTTCTGCTGCTCACGAACCCACAGCACACGCAAGCATAAATCGATGAATAAAGAAAGACGAAAGGGGACACACACTTCCCCCGCGTCTCTTTCCCTCCCTCTCATATTCACCGCTACTTAGTAAGCTTGGGCTCGCGCCGTTTCCCCCGTTGCGTGAGAACGGATAGGAGTTGACATGCAACACATACGTACGAACATAAGTGCGTACACAAGGAGACGAGCAAGCATACACTTCCTTCCTTGCTTTTTGACGCAGTGATTGTGTGTGGCCCACCCACCCATGTGTCATGTCAACCCACGCAACTGAAAATGCGTACAGCCGCTGCAGCATAGCACGGCACGCAGTCTCTGTACCCCTTCCCCCTACCACTACTGAAACCCGCCAGTCCATTTCCTGGCACGCGAAGTACCATTCGCCAGGCTGCTGCTCTCAACATGACTTCAAATACACATGCACCAGGTAGGAACAAGGGCGGGCTCCGGAAGGGCTCCGGACGAAAAGCTCCCCGCCACTGCCCAGTCACAACTACAGTCCAAGACCAAGGCCATCTTCCACGACCCATTCACCTGCGCCTACTCCTGCTGCTGTGTTGTTGCTCCTGCGGCGCCTGCTCCTGCTGCTGCGCTTGCCGCTGCAGGTGTTAACGCGAATACGCCCAAATCACGTCTACATCTACAGTACTTACTCAGCAAGCAAATACACGAAGCCAGCCAGCCTCTTAACACTAGTTCGGCTAGCATGCCTGCGTGCCTATGAATCACCATCGCTGCTCATTCCACACGCGACAAAGCAAAGGGGCGGACACACTGGTTCATTGGCTACGCGTGACTGTTGCTACACAGCGCGGCAGCAAATCCAGGCAACAAGTACCGACCCCTCTCAACCCGCGACAAGCTAAACAAACGGACACACACGCGTGTATGCGTATGGCGTCACCTACATTCCTCACCCCACCTCGTGCAGACATACACATATGCATTTATGTGTACGTGCGTCCATACATACGCACACATAACCAATCTGGCTCCTTTTATAATAGCACCTGCACGTGCGCGCCATACCTGCTCGCTGCTGTACTTACTGCTGTACGCCCGCCGGCAGGTAGGTCGTACGTGCACAGACTCAGCACCCAGCAAAGTAATCCACCAAGCAATAACCAGCCCAGCAACTAACCAACCAACGAAGCAGCTGCCGCAATGGATGGTAAAAAATCAAACCACCATTCCCATACAATCATCATCACCATCACCAAGCATCATCCATGTAATACGTACGACTGTCCGTCCGTCCATCCAGCTCTCTGTGTATTCCAGCGCGTTTGTCAATCCTCCGCAAAGAAATATACATGACACCAGCAGCTCACCAATACGTAATACCGCGGAACACAACAATCCAACCAACCACGCGCTACCTGCTGAAGCTGCTAGACCTGCCCGCAGGAAGCAGCCCACCCCTACTCTCATTCCCACCGCCACCGAAGCCCGGTGTCAAGCCGCTCAGCAAGCGAACATTGTTGTCAACACGCCACACGCCGACTCCGTAACTGGATTCAGGACGCGGCGCTGGGGTTACTATTGCTCCGGGGTTACTATTGCTACTCGCTTGACCTCCACCGCCAGTACTGGTAGTGGTAACAGTGATACCTGTCGCAGTAGCAGCAGCAGCAGCAGCTCCCGAGCTTGCGCCCAGCAACCGGCCGCCGCCGCTGCCACTGGCGGCGGCTGCCGCCCCAAAAAAAGCAGTCCCACCGTGGCGCGAGCCACTGCCGCCTCCTATCGTCAGGTAGGCGTTGCCGCCGTGTCTGGAACCGCTTTTGTTTGTAGCAGCCGCAGCAGCCATGGCGCCGCAGGAGTCATACAGGAGCCCCGCAACAGCTGAGAAAGCCGCGTTGCCGTTGCGAAGGGATGTGTCCATATTGGAGGAGAGGCCGCCGGTCCGCGAGGCTGCCGTGAGAATCTCATCGTCGTCGTCATCATCCAGCACCTGGCACATACATCATGAAAATGAATTAGAAATTTGCCTGAATAATACTCGTGAATTATCTAGTACGACTTCTGCGATACTTCATTATTGCCCTTCCGTATTGCACTCTTGCGCTACGTACCGGTATACCTCTCTTCTGGCAGTACGTACATTTACGCCTTTGGCTTGCCGGAACGAGTAGAAAATAAACGCAGGGCCCTAAGCATTGGCACACGCTCGTAATAGATCCACACATTCACGCACCTCGCTGTCCCCTTCCTCGTTCAGGTCGGGCAGGGGGCCCAGGTTGGGCGCTAGAGCGCTCACGCCGCCCCCGGCCGCGGAGAGGTAGGTCAGGAAACCGGGTTCCTCGAGCTCCAAAGGCTCGGGAGCCGTTTCCAACGTCTGCTGGTAACGGGCAGAGAATGGCGGACAGCGGCAGCGGCCATTGACGAAAGAACACACAGGTTTGCATGTGCATGTGCGTATATGCGTGTGCGCATGCACGTGGCTGTTGCTGCGTGGGTGCGCGACACCGCGTTGTATATCAACCCAAGCATGCATGCAACTAATGCACATGTGGGTGCGTGTGTGGTGGTGCAGCCACGCGACCATAGATATGGTCAAAAGATGTGAGAAGCGCGTGCGTGTACTTCGAGTCTTTGTGTTCCATGTACCGCGTGTAATGCGTTTGCTTCGCGTACTTCGTGTCCGTTTACATCACAACAAAGGAAAGCATTCACCACCCTTTTGTATGATTACTGCTGGCCGCCGGTGACTTCCCTCTGACAATCCGTACGGCCAGTGCATCCAACGCTTTTGTGCACTCCGTACATACATACGGCCGTGCCACCACTCTCGACTCAGGCCCATTGCCACCCGCGACAGGTGGCGAACTGTAGGTGTTCGCCAACAGACAGTGCACCACTGTACATAAAGTCAGGCGCTCAGCTAGGTCCTACGTATATTTCTCCACTACCCTACTTATCCACACACGCTCCTCAGGTACCGTGGTACACTACTCGTGCGCCCGCCCGCCCGCCCGCTTCCCGTCACATGGTACCCAACTACTGCTTCCTCACCTCGGCCGACTTGATCCAAGGGTGCTCCAGCATCTCCGAAACCTTGAGCCGCTCTAACCGCTTTCGTGCAAGTGCCCGATTGACGAAGTCCTTTGCGGGCTCGGACAACATCTTGGGCAACCGGAGCTCCCCTGCTCAAAACCAGACAGCCACCGTGGCAAGCCAAGCCGCCAAGCATCGCAATGGCCACCAGCGTTACCCCATGCGAGCAGCGGCGAAGGGGGTCGCGCTGCTTACTACGCAACGTATGTGCGGTGGTCGCGGCGGAACAAGGCATGGTTTGGCAAGCGAGCTAGCAAGCAGACAGCGGGTCAGCGCCACGCACCCGTCTGTTGACACACACATACACACACACACGCACGCACACACAAACACACGACCTGTGAGGATGAAGTTGGTGGTGTCCTCCTCAGTGAAGCCCTTGAAGGGCGGCTGCCCCACCAACATCTCGTAGGTCACCGCTCCCAGGGCCCAGGCATCAGCCTGCGCGGCCACGGTTGTGGGTGGCAGGAGGGGGCAGTGCTTCACCCGCGGCCACTAACTAGCCTGCTGGCAGCCCCAATTACCTTCCCCGGTGTTTCAGGGCAGCCCCATCCGTCTCATCACCCATGTGTGCCGACTTGTGCGAAATCAGTGAACCCTCTTTCGGGTTCGGCACCTTCAACCACCACCCCCCCAATCACCAGCATCCAGTGGAATCTGCCCCCGCGGATCAACGGCGGGAACACAGCTCCACTCCCGGTCGGCTCGCAGGTCGCTCAGAGGTCCATCACCGTCCATCGGCATGGGGGTGCATGCACCCTCTTATTGCGGTCGAGTATCCTAATCCTGTCCTATTTCAGGCAAGTTCATCAGGCAACCTTCCAGGAACGCTATGCCGCACCGTAGCACATCGCTATGCCTGAAGCCCTACGAAAGTCTTATCCATCGGCCTATATACCTAGCTACGATACGTCCATCCGTACATACACACATACACACACACACACCTCGGGGCCGTACCCCGGCGCTGACGGGTTGTCCTTGTTCTCCTCGGGGGAACGCTTCAGCGGACACGACAGCACCTCGGGCGCCATGTAGTCGAGTGCTGCATCACCGTAACCGTAACCGTGTGATAAGGGAAATATGAAAAGGCCGGAATGGTTTGTTTATATACATTATAAGTAGTGGGAGCTGTAGACGGACGACGGTCAGTCTTGTCAACCAAGACGTGAACGTAAAACCCAACATAAATACCAAGTGCTGGGCGGAATCAACATTCGGTTGTTGTACCTACCAACCGCGAACGTCCCTAAATGCTCTGCGAAAAGCCTCAGGGGCGTATTGCCAGGGGCATGAATGCCCGGCGAAAAGCAGGTATAGTCGGCGGCAGTGAACCTCAAAACACATAAAAAGCGAGGATGTGGTTTAGCGTACGCGCATACTCAAGAAATACGCACCTTGATAACACACGCATACGTTAGTAGCAGTGAATAAAATGAAGGCGCCTCCACCCCCCCCTCCGGTAATACCAAGGCAATCACACCTCCAAGCAAGTAGTCCCGATGGACAGCCAAACGTGCTGTTTGTTAACTTAGGGTCCTTACGTTCCTCCGTCAATCCGTCATTTCGGCAGTGCGTGGTGACGTGGAACGTGCTAATTCAGTATCTGTAGATACCTAACACCACTCGTACTGTGGATGAATAAGCAGAGAACCTACGTACTACGTAGTACGTAGGCTGCCTACCTACATACCTACACAGGTAGCTATTTGAAAATACTGAACAGGGCGCATCCGTGTTCGTTAACTCACTTCCTGCGTTGCTGTTTGGTCGCTCCTCGCGCGTGTCGATGGCCAAGCCCAGGTCCGCCAGCTTCGGAGTTCTGTCCGCCGTGAACAGCACGTTCTCCGGTTTGATGTCTCTAAGTGAGGGGGATGGGAAAAGAAGGTGTTTGTGTGCACCGATTGCAGTGTCGGTTGGGGGGTTTCGGGATGGGCGAACAAATAAGCGGGATGAGTGGAAGTACGGATGGGGGTGCATGGACGGATGTATGCGACGACTGCGTAGAAGGGCGCTGATACGTACAGCGACGGGAATGATGAATGGTTGTCATGGTTGACATGCCCATGCTGGCTACACGGGCGCTGGAAGTTTGCTTGCCTGCATGAGTGGAATATACTTCGAAAACGCCGACAAGCAACCGAGGAGCATATCCGGCAACCTAGCCCACCTGTGCAGTATACCCCTGCTGTGCATGTGATGCACTGCAGACAGCAGCGGAACAGCCACCAGCTTCAAGAAGGCGGACTGCCCCCACGTGTGCATGCATTCGGATGGAGGGAAGGCGGCAGCAGCGGTGTCGATGAAGAAGGGAGAAAGGAGAGCAAGCATTGTGGATTGTCACATCTTTCAACAGCCACCAGCCGCTTCCGGAGGTTTCGGCGTCCACATAACCCGCCGGGAACTCCATGCTATCATATCGGCGGCCCACAAGACACACACGTACATACATACGTATATCAAGAGCCATAGGCACAGCTTGAACGCAAAAAGGGGCGAATGAAACGTACCTCAGGAATTTTACCCCCGTATTTAAACAATAGCCCGAGCAGGTCACCACCGTCTGCAAACTCTTCAATAATAAACACGTTATCGCCTTCCTGCATAAGTAAACAATCAAACAAACAGTCAAGCAAGCAGTCAGTCAAGTAAGCACTAGCCCAGCTAACCTACCAGCAATTTGGACGGGCGCCAATAACGCATATGGTACGGAATGAGGATAGGCGACCGCACAACACAGAGAAACGGCAGGCAGGTAGCACAACTGCCTTTTTGTGCGGGATCGGCTCAAATCCCAAGCAGCAAAAAAGCACATAGAAATATTTGCACAAGTATAATAATGCGTACATACGGAGGTACAGGTGCAGGTACAAATGCAGGTACAGGTACGCACCATAAAGGCTGCATAGAATGCGATGATGTTCACGTGGTCGAGCATCGCGTGCAGCTTGATCTCCCGGAACAGGTGCAGCCGCTGCAGCTCCGGCAGCTGCGACACGCGGTACACCTTCACCGCCACAATCATGTCACTCGCCTGGCACTGCGCCTGCGCATGTATAGGAGGCATAAATATGTAAATGTTGCATGTGTGCACACATGCATATTAGTCACGTACATACGTTTTGCGTCGTGCAATGCGCGCGGGTGTGCGTGTGCCGGTTCGAAACGAGGTGCAGGACGCATTCATCTGGCTGTTGGCTGCTTCTGCTGTTCTCCGTCCCCTTCGACCATGCCAAGACGCACAGGCCAGCTTGTCCCGAGAGCTGCTGTACGACAGATGTATGAAAGCAGTTGCCACGGAGGAGCGCACATGCATGCCCACTCTCCGAGGCAGCCAGGCAGGCCTCTGGGAATGGGTGGTGTCTGCTACATATCTGATCCGTTGGGGGCCCACCCTACCATCCGCCGCGACACTCCGCAGGAGGCAGGGAGGCGCAGTCTGGGGTGTCCGTCCAGAGGGATGAATAAGGTGCAGACGATACGGTGCCACATGGCACGACACAACAAAGCGGGATACGGCATGATGCTCCTGATACGACATGATACGGCACAGCTAAGAATATCCATGCTTATCGAGCGTTACGGAAAAGGCTGGTGGGCGGCCAGTGAAAACCGCCATGCCACCACCCACTGTCCCTGAGCCAGCCAAATCTGAACTGTGCTGGATGTTAGGTCGAGTGCCGCAGTGAGGCACATAACAGCCAATTGCGGCAGAGCAAGCATGTGCGTGGGGGTGGGGATGGGTGTGGGAATTCGCATGGGCCCTCATCTCGGCACTTGATTGTTTGTGGGCGCTTAGCCGCCGCACCAACCCAACCTAAAACCTGTGGGGGCTGTGGGCAGTACAGGGTCTGCATGTGTATCGCTGTGGAGGGTTGGGCATCCGGCAGTGCATCCGGTAGCATATCCAGCGCAAGCCTGCCCTCTCTATTACCTGTCCAGCAAAACCCATGTGTACCTTGAAGACAGTTGACGAATGACCCTTGTGTATTTGGTCCAGGACAAGATAATCATCAGATGTCCACCGGGGTCGCCGCATGGCCTCTGGCAAAGCTGATGACACGCAGAGGAGCACATCGTTGCTTTCTGCCCCGGAGCAGTTGGTGCTTGGCGCTTGCGGCCGGGGAGTGGTTCCGCTTCGAGAAGATGGAGGCGCCAAGCTGCTTCCGGCCATGACCGACGCGTGCGTTGGGGTGATGGCCTCCAGATAGTTGTTCGTACCCACATCTTTGATGAAGGAGTAATGTTCAATACCCAAGCATGCCTTGACGGACACCGTATTTCGTGTTGGAAGCACGAATCCCGTCGAGGACGCTGTTGGAGCAGGATCGGCGCCAGTATTGTGTGGTACTGAGTTCTCTTGGGTTGTAACACATTTGTCAGTTTGGACCTTGAAGCAACACGCGAAACAGTGCATTCTGTGGGCACTCCTACATCGATGCTGTGGGTCGCCAACGGTTCAGATTGCCGCACTTTAAGGATAAAGTATCATGTGAACATAACCAGCTCATAATAAAGGAGTAAATTGCTCTGTCTTCAACAACATAGCGAGGGAAGTGGCAGTTAAGCCCACGCTGTTAACAACCTAATCTAGCCTTTTCAACTTTACTTTAAATCTTTATCGGTGCAACATATGTATACTTAGGTTTAGGGTTTGTTTCTGGCTTCATGCTTCTCCGTACGGCAACACACAATTTTTGGCGAAGCAGTCAACCAAGGTTGCCCAAAAACTTAATTAGTCACTACCTGTTAGGTTATGTTTCTATTACACAAGATGGAGAGTTGTCTGTCTACATCCTAACGCGTCAAGTGCGTGCAAGCACACCGCACAGTCCAGACTTGATCAACGTGTCGTGGAAAATCAGGGTGGAATTTTCTATCTCGTCGAATCCTAAACATAACATTTGGCTTCGCTCGACATTCTTTGCTTGAAATCTGCTATGTTTTGAGCTTTATCTTAAACAGCGACCAGGAGTATGTAAGGGATTGGATACCTTTTAATTTAAGGTGAGTTCAAGGGACAATCTTGCTTGGCAAAGCCAAAGTGCAGAGGGGACTTGGCTTTGCCTCGACTTGTGACTTGAGACTTGGGAACCAGGCTCGTGTACATTTGCACAGCATACAACCATTTCAGCTTCTCATGTTGACCCTCACCTTGCTTGACCTGCTTTGTTGTGAAACGGTTTTGTATCCATCAGACTGTTGAATTTGACGGGTTTCGGCCTAGTTTTAGAGCCTGGGTTTGTCACTTAATGAATGATCTTCCTTACAGATGTCTGTAGTTTCCTCTATGATGAGCCTGCCCGGCAGCCGGAGCATGCTTACGACTCTGGTGTGTGAAGGGGGCCCTGACTGCAGTCACGACGCGGTGTGATGGCACTTTGCAGACACGCTCCCCCTCATTACCTATTTGTAGCAGCTTCAGTGCATCTCTGTCCTTGTATCATGCACCTACACCCAACCTCCTTCCCTGCAGATAGCAACTGGAGCTTGACAACACAGCACTGCGGCGTGCTGTGGCGTCCTCGCCAGCAGTGAACTCCAGCACCACCGCAGCCATCACAACAGGGATACTCATTATGGTCCACTGCTGACACGTGGCCCGTGGCACATGTCACAGCAAACCAACCAGTCGGTCTCAGTGGGAGGGCATAGCCGCATACCAAGCCTATCGGTCAACAACCGTAGCAGCCTATCGAACAGCCGGCTTCCTTCGCCTCCAGTCTCCCCAGGCATCAGCTCTCCTTGTACACCGAATCTTTCTCTCAATCTTGGCGGCGGCGGCGGCGGCAGCAGCCTTGTCCCACCATGGGCCTCTGCGGACTTCTCCAATCAGGCTCAGGAAAGGCAACTGGGCTCTGCTGGCAGCAGTGGAAGGGCCATTCTTTCCGCACTACCGGCAGCGCTAGCGTCTCCCAGCGGGACCTACGGCCGCAGGCACTCTGCAACGGCGGCCATACCCCGCTCCGATTCTGTACGAAATTCCACCTCAAGCCTCTGCCGGGTTCCCTTGTCACCCGGCGGCGGCGCGGCAAGCACTGGCGGCATTGGTGGTGCCAGCGGCGGGGTCCCCAACAACCCGCCATGGATGAGCGGTGCAACGACACCCCAGGAGGTAGCGCCACCGTCTTCACCGTCGCCGTCCCAAGCTTGGATGGGAACGTGTGGGTCGGACTCGCCAAATATTAACCAGACGGCTGGGGCCAGCAGCAGCAGCCGCAGCAGCATCCAAGTGGCGGTCCGCGTTCGACCCCTATCGTGAGTTCCGCGTCCCTACCACATAGCTTGGGGATGAAGGAGGAGCCCTCGGTGTCCAGAAATTTATCCTTTTGGCATGGCCGAGGGAATACTTTGTGGTGATGCTTGGGTCGGGCCTACCGAAATGCAGTGCTTGCTCTTCCCTGCATGTGTGTGTTGACAATCCGTATGTCCGGTAATCGCTACGTATTCGTTGTAATTGCCTGTTAAAGTTCCCGTCCCTAACACACTGGACAGCGACAAGGAGAGGCAGCGTGGCGACAAAGCGGCCTGGGGGGCGGATCGAGACGGCAACATTGGCATGCTGGACGCTGCGACGGGCGCGTTCGCGCCCAAGCATAGGTGGGTCGGGCGTGTGGCTGGCGTAATCATGCCTAAGCACATGCGGGTCAGGCGGTAGGTTATCAATGCACTAGGCCAACGTCGCCCCGACCACTATGCTTAATATGGGGGAATTATGTTTCGGAGCTCAGAACTGGCTGGGCAAAGCGTCGTAGCGGTCCTTCTCAGCGGCTGTGGGATTGGCGGCAGATCCTTATACGCATCTGGTGGCTCATGCTCTCGTATCCGGTATGCCGCCATGAACCGCGCCCTTGATGTACTCCGCTCTGTCTGTCGGCCTGCCAGCCGGCCGGCCGGCCAGCCTTGATGGACCCCTTTCCTGACTAGCTGCCTGCCTGCCTGCTGGCCTTCCTCCCCCGATTACCAGGTTTGACACAGTCTTTGGTCCGGAGACCAATAACAGCACTGTAGCCGGGAAGGTGGCGTTGCCCCTGGTAGCACCTGCTCTGCGCGGAGTGAACGGAACCATCTTTGCTTATGGGGTTACCAGCAGTGGCAAGACACACACTATGTTGGGCACGGACTCGGTGAGGCTAGCACTCCGGATATGCGGGATGGAACGCGGGGCGTTAGGAGAACCAGCAGCCGCAGAAAGGAGAGGCGCTTTCAGGGTTGCGGTCGGGACCGCAATCTGTCATTAGGCGCTTGAAGGATAGAACCACCCGGGTCGGTTGGGCCCCGATGAAGAAAGCAAGGATGAGAGTGGGGCCGGGCGGAGAAGCGTATGGTAGCCGTATGTGTATTGGTGTAAAAAGTGTGTGCTGCTCTGCTTAGCTTTTGCTGCGACGATCAGCGCAACCTTGTTGCACTCATATATACACCCTGAGTGCCGTACTGGTAAGCTAAAAATTCGATATTTCCACTGCTCACTTTTGTACGAAAGATAACTGCACGCCGTAGCACCCGCAAGCGCGATCCTGTGCAGCGCTGCCACGGGCTGTGCCCGCACAGACCAACACCGCATAAATATAAAAACGGCGCAAGCGAACTCGTAGTACCTAGCGTTTGTGATAGCCTCGCAACCTTGTATCCCTATGCCACGTATTTGTTTGGCTTGGTCGCAGGATCCCGGTGTTGTACCCAGAGTGGTGCGGGAGCTGTTTTCTCAGATTGCTGCTGCTAGGGCATCAGGGGCAGGGACAGGGACGTCACCTGGGCCCCCTCGGGACTACACTGTACGGCTGTCCATTATGGAGATTTACAACGAGGTGAGAACAACACCAAGAGCGGCTCGTGCTCTTGCCGTATATCGCCGTGGAGGAAGCAGCAGTGGAAACCTGCATGTCGCACCCCGCGGTCATTGTTGCGGCTATGGCTCATCCATGCTTGGGCAATTGCCACAAGCGGGTGGATGTGCATCGCTACCTTCCAAAAAGGGGCTAGGGAAAGTGGGCGACCCGCGCGTTTGCATCTAGCGTTGGGCTCATGTAATTGAGCCGATTACCTACTCTCCCACCCCCTTTGGAAACTATTCCCACGTCGTTACCACCTCCCTCTTTGCAGGTGCTGAACGACTTGCTGGATCCTACTCGTACGAACCTCAAGGTAAGGAAACCCTTACCTGGCTCGCGGAACCCCGCCCAACCCCAGTTGCCCCAGTTGCCCCCGGGGACCTACACTGCTCACTGATATCAACTGGATGGCTTGCTCATCACGGGTCACGTGGTGTCCCCTTGCGTGTGTGCGTGCGAAACGACGTATAATGCAGGCTTCCCATGCTTAAGAAGGAGTATGCTCACACAAACCGTAATAAATGATCTCGTTCAGTTGTCATTAGCATTGGCTTCATTTCCTGTTCAACGTTGCTATCTTGTTTTTCGCCCTATCCCTGGCCCTGGCCCTGGGGCGTGTATCCATAACGCCGTAGCACCACCTTGTTGTGTGAAATGTGAACCAGACGATTAATTACCTTTCTGTCGCCTCATCATTGTGTTCAGGTTCGGGAGGACTCTCGCAGCGGACTGGTATTGGTGGATGGCCTCTTGGAGCAAGTGGTGACGACAGCGGAGCAGGTGAGCGGTTGGGAGCTGGGAGCTGTTGCCTGGTTGGTGCCGTCCGGTCAGGTTCTCGGTGTATTAAGTTGTGCAAAACTAATTACAAACAATGACTTAAAGCCATGGAGCAAGTGAATGGCGGACTGTGGGCTGCGACTTTCCCCGTGGTCGCCTAGGGTTTTAGCGTGCAGTCACGTAGGGGCCATTTTCTTTGCAGCGCCAACTCCAGGAATAATGGATGGCCTCTCTGCGGCCTGTGCATGGCTCGTTTGGTTCAGCATTAGCGGACCCTTCACTTCACAGCCCGGTCTGGGAATGTCTATTTGGGCCGCGGGTCCCTTTTCCATCCCGAATCCTGATTCTTCTGTTCCCTGGGAACCACGCGTGTGATTCGCGCGCGGCGCAGGCGTTGGATCTTATTGCACGGGGCGATCACAACCGTAAGGTCAGCGCCACAGCTTTCAACGAAGACTCGAGTCGCTCCCACACCATTACACGCATTATTGTAGAATCGACACCCCTGGCGACGGGAGGAGGGGTTGGCAACGACGGGGCGTCGGTGTCGGCGTCCATTGATCGACCCGTGGGGCGGCGGATGACCGCCTGTCTCAGCCTCATCGACCTGGCTGGCTCCGAGTCCGCGCGTGCGGTCGTGAGCAAGGGGCAGCGAATGGAGGGCTCGTTCATAAACCGCTCCCTTTTGACGCTCGGGACGGTTATACACAAGCTCGCAGCGGGTGCCGCAGGTCACGTGCCTTTTCGGGATTCCAAGCTCACACGCCTGCTGCAGGTACGCGTCATTGTCTTGTGTTTAATGGCCTGAGCCGCCGCCAGGCACTGGCGAGGATGGTACACGAGTAGCTTTACTGAAACAAGTAGTGTGCTTGTGTATGTCTGTGAATCAATTCCCTGGCTTGTGCGTGTGCTGCGTCTGTTATGGGCCAAAACCGTGTCGTGAAATGGGCGATTGCTTGCCTTGTGCGTGTTGTAAGAATGCGTTCGTGTGTTGGGGTTTCAGTTGCATACGGGGGTTTGTGTAATTAGCGAGGTGGCAGTGTGTCTTGCGGCTGGACCGGCTGCTGCTTAGCTGGACGATTTGACGGCTGCGCCGGTTGCGTCGAGTCCCTGTCAGGTCTCATTGGCCCGTTCATATTGGAACTTTGTATCTTGCTTTTCCACTTAATATGGTTTTCATGTTGCACCTCTTTCCTCCCCTAATCACGTAACCCTCGCGTGTGTTTTCCCGGGAAAACGCACACGATTGCCTCTTGAGATCTCTCTTTACGCGATAATACGCAACATAGATGGTCCAGATCGCTACCAGATGTATAAGACGTGCAGTGGTTGTTCTGCAGACACAATGGAGTGCGGGTGTAGATGAGTCGGGCCTCTACTGACACCACTTACTACGATGTATATCTATTGACATGATGTATTGTCATACCCACGCTCCTCTCCGCCTGCTTCGTCAACCTTTGTCGCAGCCGAGTCTCTCTGGTCCTGGAGCGCGTGTGGCAGTGGTGTGCAATATCACTCCCGCTGCTGCTCAGTCTGATGAAACCGCCAACACCCTCAAGTTTGCCGCGAGGGCGAAACTCATCCAGGTGTGCAGCTGGTGTGGGGCAGCGGGCCACCGAGGCGAATTACCGTCAGGGGCATTGGAAGGGAAACTGGCACAGTGGTGCAGCGGATGTAGGAGGACACAGTTGAGCTGTAGGAGGGAGTGCGGGAGATAAGGGGTGGTGTTTTGGAGGCGACAGCGGATGAGGGGGATGGGTATCGCTTGAAGGGTCTTATCGCGACCGGCCGGAGTGACGACTGTACACCTCTCCCACGTAAGCCCATGAATTCTGCTGTTAAACTGTTATGCAATTTATGAGTTATATGTTTTGGTTCTCGGTTTCTATGAAGTACTTCCTGCTCTTTATCGCCACACGATATGATGGTCGCTACGGGACGTTATAAGGTCTGTGTGTGGCGGCTCCTCCGTCCCCCGGCAGGTGACAGCCCGCACGAATGAGATCCTGGATGAGCGCACGCTCTTGAGGCGCTACCAGAAGGAAGTGGCAGACCTCAAACGCCAGCTTACCGAGGCGAGGCGCTTACTGGCGGCCGCAGGCATTACGGGCCCCTCCGCCACCACCGTCGGTGTTGAGCCTTCGTCAAATTCAACCGGAGGCCCCTCGTCCGTTTACGGCACGGGTGGTGGTAGTGGTAACGGGGGCGGTGGCAGTGGTGGCGGCGTCGATTTCGCGAGCCTTGTCGCGGCGGCGACGGCGGAAGAGGCGGCAGCTGCGGAGCTTCAGGCGGAGCGAGATGCGCGGCGTGAAGTGGAGATTGAATGTACCATGCTAAAAATTAAGCTGGCAAGGGTTCAGGTGAGGGGTGATGCGTTTTTCCGCCGGACCTATGTTTTGTGTTGTCCCGCGCATGTCCCAAGTGGTGGTAACGCCTCGTGGTTTTCCTCCGTGGAAATTGTCTTCCCATGAATCCCACTTCTCTCTTCCCTAATCCCCACCATAAACAGGCCTTTTTAGAAGAGTATGGGGTCGATGTCGACAACCTTCTCCTCGCCGCCACCGCTACCACTAGTACAGAAGAGCCGCTGGTAGAGGCTGCTGCTGCCGCGTCCACTCCTGGCCCTGCCTCTGTCCCTGTGACTCCAACTGACCCGAGCCGACGAAAATCCTTTCCAGCACCGCCATCCCTGCTGTCGGGCGAGACGGCGGGAGCACAGAGCCCCTTGTCCCGGAAGCCGCGCCCATTTGCCCTCTCCGAGCAACCTAGCCCTTCGCCACCGTCGCAACGCCCTCCATCTGCACCGGCATCGGGCGGCCCTTCCTCTCGGTCACTGTTTCGCCACGCCGCCAGTGCTTCCTATCTCGACGGAAATGTCGACTACGGCACGGGCCCTGGGGGTCTCAACAGCATCGCCGGTGGCGAGTATTCACCCTGCGGTTCACAGCGGCGAGGTATTCCCCCTCTTGGTGCTGGTGCTGGTGCGGCTGCTGCCATTTTAGGGAGGAGGGCCCCTGCTGCGTCCACAACTCTGACTACGGACACGTCGTTGGCTTCGGCGACCACACCGGAAGAGGAGGCGGAGCTGCGAGCTCAGGTGGCAGCAGCTCTGGGTGCGGCGGCAGCTGCTGCGGCTGCTGCTACCGGTGCCGGTGCAGGCCGTGTTGGAGGTGTCGGCGACGGCATCTGCTGCCCTGGCAGCGGCGGCAGTGTGTCTGGAACCCTGTCGGGAAGCGACGTGGACGATGACCTGAACGAAGGCAAGAGGGCATCGGGAGACTTGCAAGCACTCCTCCACCACGGGTGGCTTTAACAAGGATCAGGGCAACTTGTGCCGGTTTCACTTTTACGCACCTGTCCATCTCCTCATCTCCATCTCTTCATCACCAAACACTTATAGCCACCATTGTTTCACTTCTCCTCCCTCTTTTGCTTCTCCTCAACATCTCACGCAGGTATCATGGCGCAAATTCGGGACATGATTTCTGAGGCGCGTCTATCTAGCCCGTCGCCGCCGTCATTGGCTTCCCAGCCCATCCGCACCCCCGGCGGCGGCGAAGGCGGCTCCAGCACCCCCGGCGAAGCCGTCCCCCATCATCGCCATGCTGTCCTGGCACCGCCTGCTCCTCCGGCTAGCGGCCGCCTTTCACCTTTAGGCGAAGAAGACATGATGCTGGCGTCAGCTCCAGCCACGGGCCGGGCTTCCAGCGGCTCTCACCAACTCGTATCTGGCGGCGGTGGCGGGGTCGGCGGCGCAGTTGGTTGCGGGGGCCCAGGGTCGGTAATCTCGTCTCACCACCGTCGGTCTGTCACTCTCAGCACCGCCAGCAGCAGCTACGGCGCCGGTATGGACTTGGACATGGAGCTGGAGCTGCAGGTGCTGAATGCGGATCGGGAGGTCTTGCACGACCAGCTGGTGGCTTCGGAGGCGGCCAATGAGCGGCTGACGGCGCAGGTACCGGGGTGGTCGAATGCGTGGTTCGATCGGCGCATCACGGCCGCCCGATGCGTCTGCGAACTGCCGGCGGGCTCTTTACACCGTAGGCTGTAGCGCTTGTGCCTACTACCTACCTTGTTATCGTCCCCAACCCACCCGTCTCTTTACCCTCGCAGGTTACGGATCTGCGGCGGCAGTTGGCCACTTACGAGCAGCTCACACGCCACGCGTCGAGCGAGCTAGCAGAGATACGTCGGCTGAAGGACGCCTTCCAATCGCGTCTGCAGCGGGAGAACGACGCACTCCGCATGCAGCTCATGCAGCTAGGTGTAGTGCCGGCTGCTTTGCCGGCTGATTCCCAAGCGCAGCCCCCCACATCGTCCATCTCTTCCTCTTCTCCGCAGCTACCGCGCGTACCAGGTGGAGGGGGGGTAATGGCCCCAAGGAGCACCGGTACTGCGGAGGTCCCTTCTCGATCATCACTGCCGCCTCAGGCACCGCAACCGCTCCAAGCACCCAGCCAGGCACATTTGAGCTATCACGGCGTGCAGAGCCTGGAGGCATTTGGGTCGCCGGCGGCGGAATCGCCCTGGTCCCTGGGGATGCGACCTACTACAGCTTTGAGTACCTCGGGACTTGCGATGACGGCGGACGTTTCATCTTCGGAGGGCTTGGTGCGCCGCCCTCTCGCCCGTGGGGGAGGCGTTTAGCAGGATTCTCCTCGCACTCGAACGGCAGCAGCGTCGACGGCGGCGGCGGCAGCGGCAGCGGTGAGTGCATTAGCTCGACAGGCCAAGTCTATGAGAGATGTTTCGCTGGAGGTTCGGCTCTATGGCTTGGGGCGCGTCGGCGCCCAGCGTATCGCGACGTAAGGGGAGGTTCATGTTGGGAGGTCAGAAATTGCAGGAAGCGGTTGAACAGTACTGCACTTAAATGGTGGCAAGAATGCTCAATTTGCTTTGCAGGTCAGATAAGTAGGATGGAGTGATGATGTGTTATTGAGTCGGTAGGAGTAGAGCTGTAGAGCTGTTAGTGGTCGTCCTTCAAGGGTCGCGTTGTTTGTTTATGGAGCATCCTTGCTTACGAAGTCGCCGTGCAGGGGCTGCAGCGATGGAAGTGGCGGAGGAGAATTGCTGTGGCTCCTTGCTTGGTGGGAGGATGGTGCATTTGAAATGGGATTTTGACTGGTTGATAGGCTGACCTGTGCTGCGCTCCCTTCCTCGCGTGATAATGGTGCTGTTACTATTTTTGTTGTTGGCTACCGCTGGGGGAAGAGTGGAGCAGGACGCGGCTTCGAATGCCCATCACGTCATCAGTAGGGGTGCGTAGCCAAGGAGTGACCGCTGCAATATGTGAATGACACGCAACGCATGGTCCATATTACAGTGATGATTTCTCTGGAGGCTTTGTATGACCGCCAGCTGCATACATAGGGTGCGATGGGTGCGATGGACGTTGTCAAAAACTTTAACGGTGCCACGCAAGCATACACGCGTTTTGGAGATGGGTAGGCAACCGGAGCAGGCAACCAAAATCGCCGCTTTGAGGATGGGACTGTAGATTCGTGGGTGGTGATGTGCTGCAGTGGGTGACCATCATAGCCGGTAACCTCTTTCTTTCTAGATCTTCTTCACATTTACCATTTTATTCTTTAGTGAAACACTTGCCTTGTGCGTGGGGTTTCGCCCGACATGTAGCACTTTACACTTTACTCTCGAGAGCATTTTCTGCTCAATTGAATGCACGCGGGAAATGCACGGGAATGCACGCGACCTGGTCGCTGCTATCTGCTTTTTCTATACTTTTGTGAACAGGTCTGTCCAGAAAGGTTTTCCTCACGGGACGCTAGGCTAGGGTACCGCGGCGCTCTCGGCTTTTTCCTAATGGATTTTGCTGTCATGCTTGTTTGGGGAGCAATATTTTCTCGCCGGGAGCATCCCGCATCGCATCCCTTCTCCTCCCCTTTCCCTTCTCATGGCCAGGCCAAGCAAACTTCCTAACCCCTCATCTGCTAACGACCATCTTAGTCATCTCGAAAATTTGGCCTAAAATCATCGCGGGTTACTTTGCTTGGGATAGCATAGCACCCTTCAATAGGTTTCGGTCGTAATGCTGGTCGCGGGGAAAATTTGTTTGTATGCAGCTTTGTGACTTCCTATGCTGTGAGAGTTATGTACACTGTATGCATGACCGGCGCTCGAGCGCGCATACGTGTCAGAGTGGACATCGCTGACGTCGAAACGTGTGTGCGTGTCTGTGAATGTGAATTTGCGACCCGTTTACCACCCGTGGAGCACTACGTATTGTATTGTTGCTTAACTGTGGAACGTGACTATGGACTATGGACTTAATATTATTTATGGTCGATGTAGACGGATCAAGGTGAAGCTGCTAAATGTCCCGACATCAGCGATTGATTGATCTATCTCAAGGATAGCCATCTCCAGCACAGGGTCTTGGCCATAATATCAGGGTTCCTGTAAGGTACAAGGGTGTTACACGGAATAACGGTTGTTCGACACGGAGCTCGACAACATAGATTAATCACACAAGACCATAGATTAAGTATTTGTGAAAGTGTGTCCAACCTCCTCATTTAGGTCTCGCCTTGCCAAACCTTGTAAAATTACCCACCCGGCCCGTACCGGCTACTACCACTAAGTCCCTGAACACTGTGCACTTGGATGATACACAGACGCCAACAGACAGTGATGATCCAGGCGACCCTTCGTATCGAAACCTCGGGACCTAATGGTTCTAAGGCTGGAAAGTGGTTCATGCTCACATGCACACGGTTAATAGCACAGAATTGCAACCCAAATTGCCTTCACATCGAACTCCGTGGACGGGCATGGTCCTGCATCGACAATACGTATTTAGCACCTAACAGCGGCACAAATGGCGTCCAAACAGAAGCCACCTTTTGTAGACTTTCTGCCCAAGAAATGTCAGAAACGTTATTAAACGCCCTTTAGACCTTACACACCCTGCCGCCCTAAGGACAAAAGGTGCCCACATAACCACATTCATGCCTGCTTGAGTTCACATGCGAAATCACATCCATTCCTTCCTATACAATCTACAGCCAAGCTGTCCTACCCCACCAATGGGCACGCGGTACTGACATGGAAGACCGAAGGAGGCCAAACAACTCTCCCCGTGCTCCTTTCACAAGCCGCGGTCTAGGGGCTTGCTCCGATCAGTTTGGCCGCTGCGGCTTGCAACTGCCGTAGCTGCGCGATGTCCAAATTCTCGTTCCGGGACCTCCACCCCTGGACCTCCGACACTAGTGCTCTGAGGTCCACGGCCGCCGCTGCTGCAACTGTACTTCCCGCAGACCTCGCGGCGGCCTGGCCGTCCACCTCCATGGCGTCTCCTCTCTCCTGTCCGGGTTCGGAGCCACTGGGCGCTCGAAGCGGATGCTCCCGGTGCTTCTGGTCCTGGTTCCATTGTGCGGACACCTCGGCTGCCCGTATCACCACTTTGGGTGGAAGGCCAGCTAGCCGGGCAACGTTGGTGCCGTAGCTCTTGGGACAGGCACCTGGCTCGGCAGCGCATGGTGAAAGGGGCAAGCGGATAAGCCATTCCACATACCGTTTGTCGTCCAACAAGCGAACTCGAAGAGGGTGTTGGGGCGTTAATACAGGTTCACATGCAACCAAAACCAGTGGACAGGTCTCCAACGTCCAGCAATTAAGAGAAACAATATGTCACCAAACTGAGCAACCGTTTTCCACGCCAAGTCAAGCAACTGTTGTTCCGCCTCTACTCTGCTTACCCGGTGTGAGGCGATACAGGAAAGTGACCTCCTCGGCACCTGATGACGCGCCGGCACCGCCAGTGCCGTTGCCTACAGATGACGGGGCCGTTGCCGCCTCCTCACCATCAGCTGCACCCTCAACGGCACAAGCCATGTGCATTACAGCTACCTGGTTGAGGATCGACAGCCAAACAGCGTGAATAAGTCAGCAGCAGCCGATGCAGTAACTTGCCTGTGTGATCTGGCGGTTAAGATACGCACAGCTCGCACAAATCCAAGGACGCGGTAAAGGAGAGGCTCATACTTGCACCTTCCAATGATAGGAAAACCAACAAACCTAATATGAAGAGAACACATGCATAGAGTCAAACAGTCAAGGAAAAGAAATACACCGTTTGCTCTGCTACGTTCCGGTTTGTTGTCCTACTGCGCTTTCGAACCTCGACTGCAAACTGCCCACCTGGTAAGCACGGACAGTGCAGAGATCCTGACGGCATGTGTTCTCGACCTGATTACTTTCCTCCTCTAGGCCCGGATTACACGACTTACCTGAGGGTCATTGGCATGCTCATCAGACAGGTGATGGTAGTGTGTGGCGAACAGCCCACGGCATCCGGTCACCGTCGCCAAATGTTGCAAGACCGCACCCGCCACTGCCGCGCCATCCAACGTTGCGGTTCCACGACCCAGCTCATCCAGCGCGACCAGCGAACTGCACGAGCCGGGTGGCGTCGGAACGGGAGCTTTAAGCTCAGGAGTCGAGACCTTCGAGACAATTATGCAGCTACAGCCGACGTCCATTGGTGGAAAGGACTTACTCGCTGGTTGCCTTGGCGAGCATGGCGGCAGTCTCCGCCAGCTCAATAAAAAATGTGGACTGTCCGGTCATGATGGCGTCCCGAGCACCCATGCGCACAAAGATGGCGTCAGCCGGACTGAGGGTAAGCGACTCGGCCGGCACGCATGCTCCGATCTGGCAGGAGGATGAGAGAGGCAGATATGTGAGCATACGGTCGCACGAGGAAGCGCATCCCATTAAGGAGTGTGTGATAAGTCGGGATCGGGAACCGCAGGTGCATCCCGGGAAGTGGGTTCCAACTGGTGACCAGGATCGGGATTTAAGAGTACATACGAATGTAAACACAACATTTGTATGTTACAAATATACAAACGTACAAGCGCGCATTGCACTCAAAAGTAAGATACGCATACCTGTGCCAGCACTGTTGCTAGGCACACCTGCCGTAGCAATGTGCTTTTGCCGCCCATGTTGGGTCCGGACAGCAAGATAAATGGAGGTGCACCACCGCAGCTACCTCCCCTTCCCAGCCGCACGTCATTGGGCACGAAGGCCCCGTTGTTGCGGCCACTGATACCAGCAGGGTGGCGCATAGCCACCGCATCAAAGGTCGCACCACTGGGCTCGCTGTCGCCAGTCTTGCCAGCTGCTGCAAGGGCCACACAAGGCGTCACGAAGGAGAGCGTCACGGAAACGGCCAAAATCTCCGCGCAATCAAGTTCCGCAAATAATAGCCGTTTTCATAGTAGTTGACGTGCCGCTTGAAGACGGGGATGGGCTCGGGACCTGCGAGCAGAAGAGTGTGCTTGCTTCCGTGGGAGGAGACGAGCCTGCAGCTGGTTACCGAAATTCCGCGAGTTTTTATAGTCAGTACTGACAGGTTTCCACGCGCCCGCGGCAGTAGCGCAGGCGGTAACCATGTTCCCCCTTTTTGGCCTATAGGTCGCCTTAGTGGCAATGTTAGCTGCAATAGTTATGTTGCCAGTGAAGCTTAGGACCAGTTGGCCGATCCACGCGGACCTGCAGGCCCAATTGACCGCCATTGGGCAATCCGACTACTACCAGAAGGCCTCCGCCCTGCTGGCTGCTAACCCTGGTGCTTGTGCCAATAAGAAGAATTTCACCGTCGCCATAAGATAAGCGTATGATACCTACGTCTCCTTAGAAGAACCAAATGGCGAATGTAAGCGCGAACATCGTTCAAGTGGAGATGGCCATGGAGTTTTTTTCTCAGAAACCTTTAGTAATAATAAATATCCAAGCTCCTGTGACGTCTGGCACCAGCCAGCGCGACTGCAACGCCGCCCCGCACACGCTGTCTACACCCACACAGAAGACACACACATATACACACGCACACCCCACGCGCACTCACCGCTGTCACGTGCCGCCGGTGGCACCAGCTTGGGTCTGCACATGGGTCCCCCATCGGGTGGCGACATGGCGTGCGCCGCCAGAGACATGAGCGCATCCAGATCCGCCACAGCCTCCACCACCGCCACCCACAGCGCCTTGTGCGACACAAATTTGACCAGAAGACGCTTCGACACATACGGCACATGTACACACACTGAGTTAGTAAAACATAAGGATGGGTTATGTATGTTTATAAACGGAAGCAGCAATGCAAACATATTTAAGATTGTACCAGTTGAGGCACGGAGGAACTCAGCCAACCGATGTCACCAACAAGGGCCCCGGCAAGCCAAAAAGCGTGTATGTCGGACAGGGCAAAGCCCGCGGGCAAATACACGACCCACCCGCGCTACCAAGTAGGGGTCGTCCTTCCTATCCTCCACTCCTCGAGCCTCTCCCAAACAACTAAACCCTCAAAAGCTCTCCGCAGCTTTTACTTACCGTGAGAATGCTGGACAGCACCGCTTCCTTGCGCTCCATCACCCGGTCAAGGTCGGCAACCAGAGCCTTGAGCCGGTTGCCTGTGAACCTGTGAGCAAGGTATGGGAGGTATGGGAGGTATGGGGAGGTATGGGGAGGTATGGGGAAAGACAAAGACTAGAGAAAACAGCAAAAAAAGGGAGCTGGCAAAAGGAGAACAACCTGAGAAACGTGAAGCAAATGAGACACTCTTAGACCGTCCATTACCCTGAGACACCGTTTCCCAGCGCTTCCCAGTTTGGAACCCACCGCCCCTTAACCCTAATACCCACTTTCAAGCCTTCACTCCATACACAACCCCTCCCCGCCGGTGCTTCCCCTTCCCCTTTCCCTTTCCCTGCCTTAGCTGCCCATACCCCCTCTCCACCCGCTCACCTTTTGTAACCCTTCCTGTTCCCCACCAAATGGAACTCGCCCCCCAGTTTGCCCGCCACACTATCAGGCACCTCGACGAGGTGGGAGTCCTTGTTCACGGACACCAGGTTCACATCGCGACCGAAACGTTGGCGCAGCTGAGGATGACACATGCAGCAGAATCCCAGCGAGGGTGGGACGGTATGTGGAGGAAGAAAGGAGAGCTTGCTCGTGTCCGGGCGCATGCATGGACCCCTATCAGGCCCCCTCGCCTTGTCCACCTCCCTTCAATACGCTCAGCAGCTGCGACAGTAGTAGCTGTAGCTACCGTTGTTAATGGCGCCACAGCTGCTGCTACTGCCAGTGCTGCTCCCCGTACTACTGCTACAGGCGACCACGCACCTCCTTGAGGTAGTCTTGCATCTTACGTTCCACCGTATCGACCGCCTCCATCGCGGCATCGTACTCCTCATCAACACCCTATTGGAGCGAAAGGGTTGTCTGAGCGCAAGATGAAATTAAAGGGAAGACATCAAGGGACGCGCAGACATAACATCAGCACCAGATTCGCTTCGCATGATAATCAGCACGCACCCCCACCCCCACCCCCGCCACCTGCTCAGGCACTGCTCTCCCCGTGGCGGCCGCCTCCTTCCAGTCCGTAGCCCCCTCCAAAGCTTCCAGAGCTGAGGACACCTCGGCTGGGCGGCAACCTGCTCGTAGCGGGGGCGTGGCAGGGTGTGTGGAGGGGGAGCGGTGAATATAATGGGTTACATCACGGAACGGAGGATTGCCGACTTAAGGCAGGGGCACTGAGCCTTTGGCACTCAGTGGATGAAGGTGTGTAGGGAACTCATGTAGTAATCCGCAAGCGAAGGACCTCCAAGAGCGGCCATCAAGGACATCAGCCTAGCATCAGCCCTGCAGCAGCGGTGTGTCATCTTAGATTTCCTGTTCCCAGTAACTGACCGCAAGCATAAAAACATGTTCAACAGTGTCTCTGCAACATGTGGGCCCGTTACCCTGAAAACCCGCACACTTACGGTCGAATACGATACGCCGCAGCAGCTCACTACCCCCGCCGCCTCCCTGCATTGCCTCCCTCAGCCTGCTCAGTGCCCCGTGTGCGGCGCGTAGGTCCTTGAGGACGCTGGTGAGGGCGGCCACGCGGCGCTTCCCCGCGTCCTCGTACAGCACCACATTGGCGGCATCACGACCCGAAGCGCCCGAAACGGTGGAGGCATGCAGTCGGGCGACAGCGCGCTCCAGATCTGAGACGCCTGCAAGAGTAGCAGTTGATGGTTGGAGTGGGTTGGAGTGGGTTGGAGTGTAACCAATGCAAATGAAAGGTGGCGGGCCGGGGCAGGACAAGGCAGCGCGGAGAGTGGAGGTGGTCGCACAAGATCACAAGACCCCCCAGCAGGACACCATGCGGTAGGCAAGCCAGGGAAAAGCTAGGATGCATGACGAAAACCCTCATGTGCCCTTTTGTTCCGACCCCAAAATGAGACACGTCTCGCAGTATTGAAAGGACGTGCGCTTTTGGACAGAAAAGAACAGCAATGGACAAGTCCCAGCTCTAGGAAACGAAAGCGGAAAATGTTTACGGATGACGTGAAAGCCAACGCGCCCACAGCCCCAGCCAAACTGGCCTCCTCAACCTTGGTGGCCAGTGCAAGTGCAGATCACCTACTTGCCAGCAGCTTGCGAGCCTGTCCGACCGCCTCCGCCAGCTCCCCACACAGCTGAGCCACCGCGTCCTGCCGCGCCTGGATGTCGGGGATACGGCCGAGTGGGCGACACAGCCATTGGCGCAGCCGGCGGCGACCGAAAGGGGTCGCGCAGTTGTCCAGTACGGACAAGAGAGTACCTGGGGGGACGAGATCGAGGTGGCGACGGATGGATTTAGCGAAGTTTGGGACCGAGGTAGAGGGAACGAGTATGTGTTTGCTGGATGCGTGTGTCTACGTGTGCGTATGCGTGTGCAGCAAAAGCGGTCACGTGCGTGCATTGCGCACTTGCGTGGGCAATAGCTGGAACAGCAGCTAAAAATGTGGCTGAGTGTCATGTTATATAGCAACATAAGCCTGCAACACAGATCCCAACCGCACCACGCTCTCAGGCCTCAACATTATCCGCACCTGCCGAGCCTCCATCGCTGTTTTCCAAGATCTCTAAGTTCTCCAGTGCAGCCCCGTTGAGGGCCATGTACAGCGGACCTTCGGCACCAGCCACATCAGCACCACTGCTATCCTCACCAGCTCCAGCTGACCCCCTGGAGGCCACCAGTGCAGGCAGCTCCTCAAACCGGCCCAGTGGTAACACCGCCCGGTCCAATAGAGAGTCCTGGGGTTAGATGGACAGGGAAGAGAACCCCCCGGATGGATGAAGGTGGGTTGAGTGAGGGTTAGAAGGAGATTGTGCAGAGGTGCAGATCACCCCTAAGACTCTCAACACATAATGGGGGATTCCGCACTGAGGTAACTGAGGTACGAGCCCTAGAGGAGGCAGCGAGGCACAGGCAAACCGGAAAGAAAGTGGGGGGTGGGGGGTGCTACAGAGTTCGGTGGTAGGCACTTCCCCTGGCGGGGAAGGCACGAAAAGGGGGAAAGGGAGAGAAAAAGCATCACAGACAGCGGAACAGGCCCACGAAGGAGAATGGAAGGCCTAAGGACACAAGGGCCGCGGGTACACCGGTAGACGCCGTAATAATCCTTACCTTCAGAAACGCGATCATGCCTCCCAGCGCCGCCATGGCTGCCGGGCGAGATGACACTCCGTCAGACACAATGCGGCGCAGCAGCTGGGGCCAGCGCTTCGAGGGATCCACGTCGGGCCTGCTGGACCGGGTGGCCCCCGGTGCAGCGGCCCCCTGTCCACAGCCGTCCACCTCCATGTCCTCTGAAGTGCCGTAAGCGCCCCCTTGTGCTGCTGCTGGTGATGAAGTGGCCGCAGGGGCCGCTGAGCTGGCCGTAAAGTACTCGGCATCGCGCAATGCCTGCGTGAATTGGCGGTAATAGTGTATGTTTCGAAAAAGAAGGGCCCTATTTTTTAGTATGTGGTGTGCAGGATGTGTGCATAGCGAAGCCTCGGGCCATTGTTACCACGTACGGAGGAGACGCTTGATGGGGATTTCGGGGCTCAAGCTTTTGGGGTTCCGGGGGCCAGTATGGTGGGAGTATGGTAGGAGAGAAGAAGGAAGAGAGAGTAACGCCGAGGGAAGCAAGACACACGATGCGAAGGGACATACTTGTGTCCTGAAGTGTCCTGTGTGCCCTGAGGCCCGAAGAGAGGGAATCAGGTTATAGCATAGCACCGCAGGGAGGGGAGGACGCCGTGTGACGAGAGAGAGAATCAGGTGTGGATGATGGCTTTACCCTGTGGACGAACTCACTCGGTAAGTCTTCTCCGCGCTCCAGTCCCCAGCCGGGCCCCGCATGGAGTTGACCCGGGGGTCCCGAACTCCGTTCCGCAACACGTGCGATGTCGTGGCGCTCAATGCCTTGCGAGGCAGCACCAGCTCCTGTGTGGATAGACGGACAGACAGATGCACAAACAATAAATTGATATGCAGGCCGTTCAACACTCGAGCTAGCCAAGCAGTCCGTTGCACAATAGAGCCTCTTGCTGCGCTTTGCTTGGGACAGGCAGGCAGGCGAAGCGTTATCTTCAACGCGGCACTCCTCCGTCCGAGGAAGAAGTGCCTGTCCAGCCCGCATGAGTGTTGCTCTGGCTGCATCGCAAATCCCCCGGTGCCTGTTACGTTTCTCACCTGGGGCTGCAGCGCCGTGAGCTGAGTTCTGAGAGTGGAGCGAACCTCATCATCTACAAACTCACCGACAAGAACCTGAAGGGGGAATAGAGGGAAGAAGGGAGCAAGGAAGGAACATGCAGGAGAATAGTATGATGCAAAATACGAATACACCAGCTACCGACCACCAGGAAAGGACAGGTACATGGATGGACAGGCGTATGTGACAGCACGAGGCAATGTTCGGAAGCTGTGAAAGGCTTGTGGGGGTGTGTAGCGGGCCCGCAGAGTGTTGAGCGTTGAGTCGCACCGCAGATGCAACTAGGCGAGGGTCAGTCGTGGCAAGGGACGATGGGCGTAGAGGCAGTAAAACCATATGGACACCCAGGCCCTAGCACAGGGCATGAAGGGTGATCTCTGGTTCCCCCTTCAGATTCAAAACACCCCCACCTTTACCACCGGCCCCATTTCCCTCGCCAGCCCCACCCCACCTGTCCCGAAGCTGCATCCACAGCACAAAGCCCGATGCGCACCGCACCAGCTGCTTTATCCGCAGCTGCTTCCTGCTCATCGCCACCCACATCCATCTCGGCAACTGGGGTGGGAGGGACGAGGAGGCTCAGGAGGTAATGAAATGTGGTGTAATGCAATGTAACCCAAAACAAAGCGTATATGACATCATAAACTGTCGTTGAATCATGCTTGGAACAACAGATAATTAATGTCTAATTCGTCATCTGAAATCCCGATGCTCCTCATTTCCCCATTTCTCCACGTGCTGTTGATCACTTTCGAACAAGGCATTCGCGCGAGACGCTAGCGGTCGTGACCCGATTTCCATCTGGACACACGACACAATGCGTGTCACGTCTACAGGCTGCGTACTTCACTGCAGGGGTTGCTCCAACAGACAGAAGATGCGAGCACGGTGATCCCCCGAACCGGACCCCAGCGCCTCAAGACCCCGGGGCCTCCCCTACCTACCCGCCAGCACGTACGAGGCATCCGGCCTGGACGCCACCATCTCCGCATCCACCAGTGTCCCCCGACTGAGTACGGCCACCTTCTGACGGTCCACCACATTCGCCTACACACAGCGGTAGGTGGAGCAGGGTGTTGAGGGCGGGGTTGTGATGGGGTGCCAGGGAGGTAGTAGGGTGCCGATACCTTTCTGTTCGGGTTCCCTGCCATGTCGACGCCGCAAACGCAAAGCTTTCGGGACGCAAAAGGAATAAAAGTTCATGCTAGGAGTTAAATACACGCACAGGGGCCCATGCTACAAGGTCACAGCCCTACCGCTACCATGGCCCTCGCGGCTGGGGGGAGGTGGAGGCTAACAAAAGCGGACGGAAGAGGGGGGAGCGCGCAGGGGTGGGAGTCAAGGCATCGGTGCCTCGAGGAACCCGGACAGGAGGTCGCTAAACATTGACACCGTTCCTATCCACTCCCCCCACCTTGCCCTCAATTCAAAACACTGCACCTGATGCACGCACGCACCTGTTTTTTGCCTTGCATCCTGCGCTGTTCGTTGCGCTTGGCGAGCATCTCAGGTGTCTCGGTCTGCCGGAACGAGTGTGGAGAGGGGCCACGGGGTTCAAGGGATGTGTAAAGAGTAAGACAGCCAGTGAGAAGCCAGGAAATAGGGTCAATAAGTGCAAATTCAAGGATCACCAAGTACCGACGCCCAAAGCACCAACTTCCGGGGGTTTGGCGGCGAGAAAGGGAGGGGAAGAGCGCCAGGCTGGGCTCAGCTAAGCAACCCCACAGCTCAGGAAATGGAGCCAGCCCTTCACAAGCTCAGATACCTAATACCATTACCACTGCCACGAGTGCCACCAGCACGACAATCGACAGCACTTCTGGCCAGGTGCATCCAGCGCACGGCCTACTTATAAACATCCCCCCTTACCCCCTTCATTACCTGCTCTACCACCACCACGCGGTACCCCGCCCTGGCCAGACTCTCCGCCATGTCCGCATACTTGACCTCGGGAAAGCCCGCGTGGGGCTGCTCGCCCCTCATAAAGGTAAGACCCAGCACCTCCACACCCACATACGCATCCATCTCAAACATCTGAAGGGGATGCAGGTCAGGTCAGGTCATGTCAAGCGAGATGAGGTCAAGAGACCAAAGACGACCCCAACATCTTCAAGGGGTGAGCAAGTAGGGGAGCTGATAGAGGCGGCGCCGGGAAATACGGGACCGGGATAAGAGGTAAGACAGCAAAGGAGCCAGGCCGGACAGGATAGGAGGGGGCGAAGAGATGCACGCCGAGAGCGTTAAGCGAAACCCGGAACGCCGGAATATAAGGGGCCGGCGGTTAGGAACGAAAGGGGCCCTCCGATGATGTCTATCATTTTTCATACCGCTTCGAAGCGCTCAGCCTGCAGCTGACCTCACCTGCAGGTCAGGTGGATTCCCCTCTTTTGGACTTTGAAATTGCGTAAGATTGCGGCGATTGACCACTGCTGCTGGGGACCGTCTGGTCGTATGGACTAGCCCAAAACCCTCTGTACTAGATGCCGCACTAGTAGTCAGCCTTCCTTTCTTCCCAGTCCAATGCGACGATCCTACCTCATAGAACTTGCCCATCTTGAACAGCAGCACGCTGTCAAAGTTATGGGCCTTGAAATTCCACCACTGCTGTTGACCCTCACTGATCTTAAATTCCTTGAACCTATAAGAGGGGCACAAGCGAGACGCGCGCACATGTAAGCATACGCACAACATGCGTGCGAGTTTTCTTTTCCATTTTAACTATTTTCAAGACCAGTTAAACACGCACACACACATGCGCATGTTCAACTGGCACTAAACTTGATAACCAACATTTCAGAGAAAGCAGATTTGGGGACCTCAAAACAACTTAAGGCTCCGCCCACCTGAGAAATGACAGAGCCAGGCAACAAGGGAGTTACATCACAGTGCACTTCCTCATCGTCACGGGCCTCCCCTCCCTCCCTCCCGCCCCCTCCCTGCTCGCATGTTTCCCCGTTGTTCGTCCCATCTCACCAGCCTGGCGGTATGTACAGAGTCCTCGGGTCATACTCCGGGTGATCGGGTCGGCGCTGGTTGGCGTCGCGGATGTTGTCCGGGTGCAGGAAGGAGAAGCGGACGGCCATGCGGTCAGCAAAGCGAGCCGCCTCACCCTCCATGCTGGCTGCAACACCCAGTGTCAGCTCCGAACCACCTGGAAGCAAAGATACTAATGTACGTGGGCGCGTATCCTTCCGAGCCACGAGGAGGCAAGTACGTGCAACAGCGACGATGACAGCACAACACGGGCAGTAGGCTATCAGCTGCCCCATCGGAACCCTACCTTGCGACTTGCTGGGTGTCTCCGCCAGGGCGCTCTTCCCGCTACGCGCGGAGGAAGGCGTTGCCATATTTCCCCCGCCTCCAATGCTCTTTAGCCCGCCTCCCCCGCTCCTGCCCACCCCAGCTCCACCACACGAGCCGGGCGCCACCGTGCAAGGTGTGCTGGTGACTGCAGACTTGCCACCGCCGTTGGAACCCCCCACACCGCCACCCACTCCACCAACGCCAGCTCCAATCCTGGCGGTGGCCGAGGCGGGCCCCTTGGAGGCCGTGCCGTGGTGCGGTGTGGTGAGTGTGGGCCCCTCCAGCCGGCTCAATCGGCAGACGGCAGCAGTGGGCGTACGTGCTGGGGTAGTGGTGACAGCGTTAGCAGCGGCGGCGGCAGCCGTTCTTGCCCTAGCCGCGCTGCGCTTCGACGGGGCGGCAGACTTACGATTCCATGTTGTCGTTGATGGTAGTGTTGACGTTGTTGTTTACATTAATGTTATCGTTGTTTCCATGTTTTGTTGCATGTGCATCGGGCGGGGACGGATGAGGGAAAGGTTGGGGCGATGTGAGGGTCGGGTCGGATCGGGAGGTATCACCACATATGTGCATTAAGGACCCACTTCGAGGCCCAGTGAGCCTTAGGGTTTTAAGGTGTGGTTAGTAATAGAAAATGATGCTCATGCACCGTACCCCGTACACCTCTCACAGCTGAACGAGGTGGTGGCAGAGAGGAAGGCACCTAGCATGCGGTGGAGGTGCACACACACACACCCTTCACAAGATCCGCAGATCACCACCTTTGTGGGAGGGCGCTTCCGCTTCTTGCCGATGGCAGCCGTGACATCGTCTCCATCGCTCTCTGCCGCCTCATCTTCCTCCTCCTCACTCTCCTCCTCCTCCTCTGCCGAAAAAGCCTCATCACTGCCACTCTCGCTTGCTCCTGCGTGCGATAGGGCAAACCCACAAAGTGCAAATTCTTATATACCGACGAAAACAAACGCATCCGAGGATCACAAGTCTTACGCAAACAAACTCAGGGTACCACAACGCCATAGGACACGGCATAACAGGTACGCCTAGGTATTCCATTAACGTTTCAAAAAGGAGGCCTTGCCATAAATTACCAACTCAGAAAAATGGTCATTTTGTCTCCCGAGACAACAGATTCTAACAAAAACAACAGATTCTAACAAAAAAATGAAGTCCTAAGACACACGTGACACGCGCACGGCCAGTCTAAGCCTATCATGACACTGTGATGTTGACATAAGTCATAACACAGGAGAGCTCGGGTGCCAGGAAACACTGGGACAGACTGGCGACGACTGGCAATGCGATGCCAGTGTCATGCATGTGGCCGCATATGGATACATCATCTGTGGCAACGGCACTTCCGCACGTTGGCAGTCTACACCGCCCCACCTACCTTCGTAATCGCTATCTTCCAGTTGCTCCTGGTCCCCACCGACGTCGTCATCCTCTAGGCCGTCCTCTACGGCACCCCCGCCCTCTTCGTCGTCTTCCATCACCACCCGCCGCAACCGCTTCCTGGCTCCAGGTCCTCCCCCGCTGGACTTGCCCGTCTTGTTGGGTTTGGCCTTGGCCGCCTTGCCTCCACCGCTCTTTGCCTTCAACATCGCCTGGTCCTTAACAGGTTTGGCTACTGCCGTTGGGGGGCCCCGAGCATCGGCAGCAGCAGCGCTTGAGGATGGTGCCTTGGGCTTGCTGGTACTGCCGCCTGCAGGCGCCTTGACTGCGGTTGGCCTAACCAATGCTGGTGTGGCACCCTTTGCCGCTTCAGCAGCAGCGGGTTCTGATGAAGGCCCCGGTAAGGCATCGTCAGTCATTAAACCCGGGTCTAGTGAAAGCCGCGCTGCTGGCGCAGCAGCAGCCGCAGCGGCTCCGTTGCTTGGCCCCGGAGGTGGAGTGGCCACGGCTGCACCGGGCGTGATAGGACCTAATGCCGGTAAAGAGGGACGATAAGCCAGGTGGTAAGGATGGTGGTTTCAGGCAGGGGACGGGTGATAAAGAAGGCGGCTCGTAACAAAGAATGGCGAGCGATGTTCTAAACAAGATAGGGGTATGCCGATTGCTGCTGCGTGGTGTGCTGGGAAAACATCCTCACCGTTTGCGACAGGACCTGGCGTAAGCTCCGCCTTGACACCATTCCCAAAGAAAGCAGAAATCTTTCGCTGCGTCGACTTGGGAGGCTCCGTATCTTTCTTGGCAGAACCCCCGAAGAATGCGTTAATAGGCTTTTGTTTCATTTTTGCTGTTGAACTGTCCATCTCCCACGCTCACGCAGAAAGCAGACGGCAAGCCTCCTTCGTGCGACGCGCGAAAAACGCGATCGGCGGTCAGGATGCACCTCACAGTTCCCCCTTTGATAAGTTTTTAAATTTCAGGTCATGATCCGCTTATCGATGTGGCGTGCTCAATTGATGCATATGGTTTTCCCGCGTAAGGAGCAACACCCAGTATACTAAGAATTGCTAACGCCACAACCTTCCTACCATCCAGGCGCTCGTTAGGAAAGCCAAAGTTGTCCAGGTGAGCTTGAAGCAGTAAGATACAAATTTTATCGCAGAATCCAGCCGTACCACGGGACATGGAAATGCTCATGCACTGGTGTTCAAGGCTTCCTTAGACAACATGGAACATTGTACTCATGGTGTGCGCCATTTCCGTGCATACATGCGCAAATGCCAAAGTCCTTAATCAAGCATCCAGAAATAACCGAAAACTTGAGACTTCCCAAAGAGCTGAACCTAACTGGTTTCATGCCTTAAAAGTTATTCTTCAAGCTTATTACATGCTTTAATTAATTTTTATCCTACGACACATAGCTCAACCTTAACAAGGTGTCGTCAGGGAATGGCTAACTTTAGTTATGGTACAAGTATGCAGGCGACGGACTACGGTCTGTTTGGCAATGAGGTATGGTTATGATGTTCTGTGTCTTGCATATGCGCGTCCCATGTGCGTCCCAAGGTTCAGCCTGCAAAAGGTTGCCTTGACTTTCACGGTGGCGACGCCGCTGCTCGGGAACCTGTTTCATATTCGCAAAGACGGCATAACCTTGTTACGGATTGATTTTCCTAATCAGTATCGGGCTTCCTTCAGAACGGTCACTAAAGTCTGAACACGTTCACAGGATAATGTTTTACAGCGCTCGTCCGACGAAGACCTCGACGATATGGTGCAGCGCAATATCCAGGATGTGCTGCAGCAGGCTGGCGTAGACCAGGATGCCCCTTACGAAGCTCCCTGCGATGCACCTTTGCATGGAGGGCTGAGCCGCGAGGACAGCGGTCAAAACCTGTTACCGGGAAGCGACGTTCCAGACTACGCGCTACTTCAGGTCTCGCGTCACGAAAGCACAGGGTTAGGACCCTCCACCTCCGGCGCTGCTCCTCGCGCTGCTGTTGTCGCGGCTGCGGCAAAAAGTGTGCCGCAAGCAGGCCAGCGTCGCCCGGCAGGAGGGGAAGTCGCACAGCAGCAGCGAAAGCAGCAGCAGCAGCGGACATTCATAACAGGAACGGGAAGCACATCAGGATCTTTGTCACGCAGTCAGGAGTCCAGTGCATGTCCAAGCAGCGCGACAGCCGGGCCCGCAACTCGACTGTCCGGAGAGGTGCAGCCGGGGGGGAACGCAGTGGTTCGCACGGCTGTCAACACCTCGGCGCTACTGGATGTTCCTGGCCAGCCGGAAGCCTCTCTGCGATTGCATAAGGCCCGGATCAAGGCGCTCGAGGATGATCTCAGCCGTACCAACAAGGTGCTGCTGGGTGAGCTTTCTTCCTATAGGAGATTCCCTCCGGTTTTCCTGTTGAGGGCATCCTCGTCGTTTTAAGTCGGCTTGGGGTGAATTGGCGGGAGTGTTTGCTACGGCAGCATCCAAACTGTAAGCTTCTAACAATACGAGGCAGCACTGAGGCAGCACGTCCCTCTGTAGCCCAGCTCCCCTGGAGCGGCTCTGCTTACATCGTCCACATTCCCCTGGAGCTTTTAGTCGTTGGGCCACACTCGTTTTGGGAGAGGTCGCGATGGGAAGAGTGGGCACCCTAGTGTCATTGAAATCGACTCCTAGCGACTCATCCATGCCGGATGTGACTCATCATGCCTCGTCGCGCAGCGTCACGTCGCCGTGTTGGTTCACGCCACGCCATTCCAATTTTCATGTCCCATCATGACAACGTTATAACGGATGTCCGCAGACCGTGAGAAGCAGCTGGCTGAGGCGCTACGTGAGCTGAAGGAGCTTCGCGGCCAGGCGGCCAGCTGGGCCCGTGACAAGAAGGCACTTGAAGGACAGGTGCGTGTAGCGGCCTACTCGCAGAACGGAGGATGGCAATTCCCTGAAAGGGGGGAAATTTATGTATATATCGTTGAACAAGCGAGGAGCTGAATTAAAGAACAGGTGCGTGCATGCATGGGCAATTGGGTTTACAAACCTGACGTGCGCGCCACGCCTGTAGGGGCGGCAGCCGCAGGAGTACCCAGGGCGGCAAAAAGTACCGTCTGTCATTTACCAAGAGAGTGAAGGATAGCGCTGTGTTAGGAAATCTTTTGCTTGTTTGTCCACTGCATTTGTCAAGGGCTGAAGGACGCAAGTGCGCGCCTGGGGATTTGTGTTTGCAGGAGACACCAGGTCATCTGTGTGTCCCTGGCATGCGGATAACAACGGCAGCCCTTGCGTGTGCATCCATACACGGGTTACGAAACAGTTGCCGTCCACCAGATGAGATCGGGGACATCGCAAGTGGCAATACCTGCCTCAACAAGTGGCATTAGTTCAGTATGTATTGCTTTGAACCCCTTGTCGGCACTTTAGCAGCTGGGTGTTGTGCTGTAGACTTTTTTGTCTTATGGTTTGTATTGCCTGCTTGGATTTGCCGCCTGGCTGGGTTGAGCCCTGGACTCTGCCCCCCCATCCATCTCCTCCCATAGCTTGATAAAGCCAAGAAGCAGGCTGCGGATGCGGAGTCGGCGTTGAAGAACACTGAGTCCCAGGTGAGGATGTACACATGTTTGCATGTGGGCGGCATGGTCGCGGCTAGCTGCTAATAACAAGTAATACACAACCGGCCAACTACTTACGACGAGTCGACCGCGGATGCAGCGCTGTGTTGTGGACAATCTGTTGCCACTTGTAGACGGGCCGGAGGTTTTGCATGAAATTGCCGCAAGTAATAATATAATCGGCCAGAACCCTTGCCCCGAAGGCTTTGCCATCTGGATCACGGCCAGGCTGCTTGAGGATTCCTTCCGTTAAACCATTAACACCATCATCACCACCAGTTCCGGAACCGCGTTGTGCCCTTACCTAGGTTCGTGACCTGTCCAAGGCGGATAGCCGAGCGGAACGAGAGCGAAGAGCTTCGGAAGCGGAGGTAGGCAGGGAGGTTTGGTAACAGTTGAGAGATGATGTATGACGGACAGGAAGTTGTATGGCGGCAGCTTGTACCACGTGGCACACGGCCGGCAAGAAGTGGATCAATTGTCCCTGGATACCGCGCTTTTCCCCCCCACCCTACTAAAATCGTTGAAACCTGCTGGCTTCCGATGGGAACCTTACAAACACACTCGTTGCCCGTCAGGTACGCGCCCGCGATGTGCGGCTGCAGCGCGCTCTTGAAGAAGTGGAGCGGTACAAGCAGCTCCTAAGCGAGGTCCGGGCACAGGTGAGATGAGAGATGGGGAGAGGTGCAGATTGAGGAAAGAGGGAAGACCAATCATATTCGACCAATCAAACTTCTCCTCCTGCCACCCTTTCTCTCGCCTCACACGCAGACACCCATTATGGATCCATGCCACGTCTCCCAAATCTTGCCCACATCTCATATTCACTTTGTCGATTACGTCGGTGTTTAATCTCACCAACTCAAAACCATGCGTCGTAGGAGCGTGAGACCAAGGGCTCGGCTCAGCAGGACACGGGTCGTCTACTGGCGGAGAACCGCAAGCTGGAGCGACAGAGGGCGGAGTTAATTACAGCTTTCAAGAAGCAGCTCAAACTCATTGAGGTGGGTTCGGAGGGATATCGCTTAGGAGTGCGTAGTTCTGCGAGCCATAAGAGATGTATGTGTGCGCATGACCCAAAAGTCTAATCCTCCCCGCCCACCCTCAAATGTACGCGACTTGCTGTACGCAGCCTGGCGCCGGGGGGCCGTCCCAGTCCTGGACTCCTGTGTGTGACCTTATGCGTGCATTCGAATGACGTCGTCACTTGCCCGGCTCTGCCTGTGCGCCCCCTTATCTGCAGGTCCTCAAGCGCCAGAAAGTTCACCTGGAGGCTGCTCGCGCCCTCCAGTTCAGTGAGGAGGAGTTCCTCAAGACACTGGAAATGGGGGCGGCCTGAGCAAACCACGGGGCCGCAGTGCTTCTCATTTACGGGCTTGCAAGCGCCCCGCGGCGGCGGCGGTGACCAACAGGGGCCTTTGATACCAGTATCGCAGCCCACACCTCCAATCCACACCTCCTTCAATACACAAGCATGCACACTCACACACATATAAACACGTCGCGATGTTCGTGGCCTACGAACTGATCCCCAAAGCTGGCGAGTAGTAGTCCAACGGTAGCACTAGCATAAGGAGAACGAGGCGGAGGAAAGAAGTGATGTGCTGAGCAGGCAGTACTCGTGTCGTGGCTTTTGGAGGTTGTCCGGCAACTTACAACCATGGCCATCGTCCTCGGGTCGGGGAGTGGGAAGTGGGTGCGAAGGGCTGAGACCCTGCGGAGGGAGTAGCAAACCTGGTTTTTCTGGCCCCGTCCTATTGAAGTTTTCACAGCGGTGAAGTCTGCCGTGGCCTGGCAGGTTTGTGTGTTGCGGCGCTTGTTACAACAGGTGGCTCACGGGACGTAATACAGAGGTGTCAATGGGTCGCTGGTTGCGTCATGGGACCCTGTGCCCGTGTGCACACTATGCCACTGCAGGCGATACGGAATGTGATTTGACAGGCAATCCCCCTTAGGCCCACTGCAACATAAGGATTACCCAGCTGTACATAAATTGTATGATTCCCTTCCTCGCCGGAAATGTACATTTCTCCAGATTTCTCCTGGCCGCCCCTATCGCTCCACTCTCCGGGAAACCAACTTATGACATCATGCCGGCTATTTGTAAAGGGTATATACATAGCTACGAGATGATCATCTCGTAATCATCGGTATCATGATACCGGGTTGTTCTTGGTGTTATTAATCAACGTCAACCTCATCTACTTTCATCAACCGTCTACTTTCATCTTTCGGAACATCCTACGGAAGACGGAAGCAGACATGCTTTCCACTTTACCAGGACTTCATGCTGGGCCAAACCCACCTACTCTTACCACCTATACCTTCGGCCTACACACATTTGCACAGAACCCAAATACAGAATGATTAGCTCAACTTTGTTTTCCGCCGACTTCGCAACTTTACCTGTCTTTTTTGGGGTACTTCGGTACTTCCGACATATATATGCTGGTGCTGCCACATCGTTCCAAACAGAATATACCCACATACCGCCCGCCCAACTCAGCTGCCATCAGCGACTTCCCACCCATCACCCGTCTACCTGACTACCCCAGCAGCACGGCCATCCCCTGTCTATTAGCCACATTGGCACACTCAGTACCGGCTTCCCACTCCTTCACGTCGCCCTCTTCAGGTGGCTCTCAAGAGCCACCCCACAACCTACGCGTCGAACCCCTTCTCCAACACCTCCCTGCCTGGGCGGTACCTCTAGCTCCGCCCTATCCGCCCCTCACCCCGCCCTCTCCACCCGGAACGGCTCTGAGCAGCCCTCGAAGGCCGTGATTTCCCCACCCAGTGCCTTCTTGGCGTCTCCGAAGTACCTGAACCGGTAGGTGGCTTCGGGAGTACCCGGGGCGATGTCCCACTCCAAACTGGCGAATGACTCTGGTGACAGTGAGTGAGGCCTGACGGAGAGACAGCGAGGCGAATGGCCAAGCCAAGGTGCAGTTAAAAAAGGGTCCAGGACGAGGCGAAGGACATTGGGGGGAAGAGCTGGCAGAGGTGCATGAATGCATGTATCGAATGGCCGATGTCCATGCAGCTAAGCGTGGAGGTTGGCTGTTGGGTGGCCGCAACGGCCAGCGCAAGGGCAGGGCACGTGCATCATTATCGCGCGTGCACATGACCCCAACGAGGACAGCCGGTCTGGTGTCGTCGTCACTGCCACCGATAAGGAGGGCCCCAAAATCAAGTTATTGACAGAAAGGATAAAGTCCTGAGGGGACTTCCTCTCCTCTCGTACTGGGGCACGTCTGGGGTTCAGTGTTTAAATGATGTAATGTAATGGTGTTACAGAGGAGGCTTCTGGGCCACGTGAACAAATGGTCATTTCTAGGATTTATCACGGCCCAACTCCATTCCTGGTCGGCTCGCAAGTCAACTTTTTCCCAGGTCACCACCGTCCATCGACTAGGGGCACTATACCTTCCACCCATCGGAAGGATTTTTGACCCTGACATGTCTCGATCCCGGGATCTCCCGGGGGCAATGGTCGTGCGTTATGTATATATGTATGTTGGCTAGTAGGTATCTGTCCCATGCGTTGCCGCCAAGCACACACACATACGCTCGCATACTCGGCTCTCTGGAACACACACACGCAGACACATCTCCCCTACCCACCTGTGCCAGTTGAAGCGGGTCACCCAATCTCGGTCATCATACACCACCCGCCACTCGCCGGCACTGCAGGCCGATGCCTGAGGGTCCGCTCCAACGGCCACCTCAGGCACAGCGGCAGTGGTGGCGCTACCGCTCTGAGGCCGCCTGCGCCCGTGCTCCCACCTCCACGTCCATGTGCTTGCCGTAGCTGCAGCTGCCGTGGCTGCTGCAGGAGCTGCGGGTGGGGTTCGTGTCCCGACGGGCCCTTCCGTCGTCACCTCTTCCGTCTCCGTGTTGGCGGACGGATCCTCAGCTTCCGTTTCCCATCCCGCTGTTGCTCTTTTGCCTGCGGCTACTGCTGCTGCAGCTTGTTTTGATGCGTCTGCTGCTGCTCCGGCTCCTGCGGTTCCTTGTGTTGCTGGTACTAGCATCTCCACCGCCATGAAGGTGAGGCCAGTGCGCAGGTTGTTGCGTGGGTTGGCGGCCCTGGGGAAAGTGGCGGAGTGCCCGAGGGTAACGGGGGACGAAATGCAGTGTCGGTCAAACGACAACCAGCAGCGAAAACAACGCCATGCAGTAGCATGCAGCAACAGACCGTTGGGCAGCAGCGAAGAGGGAAGAACGCCGAGAGTGCAAAGGAGATGTTAATGTTGGCGATGTTATGATGATGCCGGTGATGGAGAAGATTAGTGCAGGGTAGACAGCCATAATGGCTGCACGTGAAGACCCCTTCACCCAGTAAACGACCGTCCGGCTTCCTCACACCTGAAGGTGGCTCTGGCTGTCTGTCCCGGCTGGTAGCTGGCCTTGGGTCGCTCCGTGACCTGCCCGAAGTAGGCCCCCGGGGGCACCCAGTCCAGGACCACGGGGCCCAGCAAACTGACTTGGTCCGCCTACGGGTTGGGGGAAGTGGAGGACAGGAAGAAAGAGGAAACCGCCCATTCGGATCAACAACTGTGAACAATCAGAAGGGGATTGTGGTGGAGTGCAGGAAGGGGGTTAAGAGGAGGGAGAAGATCTCCGCATGGGCAAGGGGGTAGCAGCAGTATGGAGTGGAGGTGCGCGGAGAGCTGCATTGTGCGCGCGTGTGTGTGTATATATGTCCTGTTATGCATCGATCCGGGGCTGACGCTGGCCAGGGTCACCTAGCCGTACCCCAAGTGGAATGACCGCCGAAGCGTTCTCCCCCTAGCGGGAGGAGAGGGGCGTCGTCCCCTCCTGCTCGGCAGAGGGCGAGCAACCCTGTGTCACCGATCCTGTGCGTGTATGTGTGGCCGTGTGGCCGCGCAATGGAGGGGAATGGAATGTCTCGGGGTAGGGGCGCCCGGAGGACTGGGATGTGGGTTGGATACGGATTGATGGGCACGCATAAGGCTTCCCTCCCCTCCCCTCCCCTTCCCTCACCTCCAAGTCCGGTGGCTGTACGGCACTGACCAAAGGCCGCCCCTCTATCATGGCGTCCGCTAGCCGCAAAAACTCCTGATGGTCAGCAAGGTGGCCGAATAAACAGCAGGGTGAGGAAATAACAACAATATGTCGACCCAAGTCCGGAAGGCCGGCCGGAAGGGAGGGAGGGAGGGAGGACGAATGCAGATGGTGGTCAGGGTAGCACAG